AACTGCTGCCAGATCTTGTGCTGGGAGCAGAGCTGGGACCCCCCACGGACAGAGGCTGCTTCGTGGCAGCCTCTCCTCCCCCTTTCCCTGCATCCCCCTACTGCAGCCTATCAGAAGCAGTAGCATGGGGCAACAGGCAGCTAGTCTGCGCAGGGAGCTGGTTTTAAAACTGGCTCCCCTCGTGAACTGGCTCCCACCTGGCATCCTGCACTGCTGCCTCTTGATACAGAGGCAGCAGCGTGGAGTCATAGGGGGCTCCCTGGGAGTGTGGCCAGAGTGTGTTGACTGCCAGCCCTGCTCCTGGGGACTATAGACTAGTTGTGTAACAGGTAAGATTTTGTGCAGTTACATGATTGTTCAGTTACCTGTTATCTAACATCCCTACTTTCTATTAAACATACATTTTTCAGTACATAAGCCACTTTTAAAGTTGGACAGGTGTACTTTTGAAAATTAAGCATAAATGCTGTTTCCTGAACTGCCCTCAATTGGGTAATATGTAGACAATTCCACTTAAGAAGTCACCTATATATTTTTTTTCTAAATAGGGCAATTTATCACCTGTTGATGTCCACAAGATAGAAGATGACATCCAAAAAATAATGCTTTCTGACCTGCAAAACTTAGGCTTCAAAAAAGCTATGGAAATAGAGGTACCTTTTCCTTACCATCCATTGCATGGTTAAATTTATTTTTTTAAATACTGATTTCACTGTCAGCCTCTTCAGTGGCGTTCATATATGTTTCTTGGACAGGGACATCACTTCAACTTTGTGCCTGTTTTCTCACCTTACAATGTAGATACCAATCATGGCCCATCTTTTTAAAGGCTATTCCATCTACAGATGGAAGGGTTATAAGAGTGATGGCTGTGGTATTACAGAATTGGACCTTCCTAACATCAGTACATCTATTAGTTCTAACTAATATTAGTATTTATAGTATATAGATGCTCTTAATGTGTCCATTGAATAGTAAACACAATAAGTTATTCATTACAAGTATAGGTTGGACCTCCCTGGTCTGGCACCCTTCCACCTAACTCCTTCTGAAGAAGGAATTTGCCAAACTGGGGAAGGTCAGGCCTCCAAGCTCTGAGAGTGGGTGTCCTCCTACCCACTAGGCTCCATTCCGTAACCCAGCTGGTTCTGCTGTCTCTGGCAACCTCTGCTGTTGGGGCTCTCTGATCTGGCAACATCTGTGATCTTGTCAGGCTATGGATGTTGCCAGACCAGAGAGGTTCAACCTGTATTAATGTTAGATACTTCAATAGTATGACTTTTTTTCTTTTTAGGGTACAGTCACTGAATTCAAGAACCCAAGTGAATTTTATATACAAGTGTATTCTTCAGAAATTTTAGAACATCTCAGCAAGCTTACTGTAAAACTGAAAGATTGTTATGCAAACATTGTTAGCCAAGAGGAATATATTCCTATCAAAGGGGAAGTTTGTGTTGCAAAATATTCTCTGGATCAGGTAACTTATTTTATTTGGGGTCTGGTAAAAATTCTAAGAGAATATGAGACTGTAAATATCTAAATGCTCTAAATACCTTTTAGATTGTGTTCCGCTCAAAATTATATATATACTGTTTTGTGTTGCATGTAATTCCCATAGTTTTTCACACTTAGTGGATATAACTTCTATTTTTACACATTATGAATTCCAGCTTTGTAGAAATTCTTGTCTTGAGGCAGTTTTTGTCCAAGAGCAGATCATTTTCATGCAATATTTTAAGTTCTTGATTAAGTTAATTTTCTTTTAAACTGACTGTTCGTTAGTCAAAATGCATATCAGAGTGGACTATCTCTCTGTTGGTAAAGAGAGAACATGCAAATAAAGAGTTGCAATAAGGTTAAAAAAACTAGATGTAAGTCATTTGACTTTCCCCATTTATTTCTGATTCTTACCTGGTGTATGACCTGATTTTCCTAACAGCAGTTTTGACACCTTATTTTCCCTCTGTTATCTCCTACACTTCCTTCTTTCCTCCTCCTCGCCCTTAATGCTACCAGACACTTGATATGTAAAAGCATTGTAATGATATGTGGTATCTGTTTTGCGGGGTGGAGGGAGGATGTTTCTTTGGAGCAAGCTTCCTGTGAATCCTGAATGTGTTGTGCTTTGAAAGGAATCTTGTCTTGGTGATGGTACTAATTTTTTTTCCAATTATGTGTACCCCAAACTATTGCTAGGCAATGAGTCTCTTGTTCAGTTGAGTTGCTTCAGACCTGATCAGTAATTTTTACTTTTTTGCCAACTTGATGGAGAAAAAGTAATTCGTTGTATTCTCCACAAAAGGAATAATGTCCAGAGTGTGTAGTTCTGTTTTTACATCCAGAATATCATTTGTTCACGTGTAGACCTGGAATAGAGTAGTGGTAAAAGAGGTGGATATCTTGCAGAAGAAAGCACAAGTGTTGTTTATTGATTATGGCAATGGAGAAAATGTTCCACTAGATTGGATTAAACCACTCCAGAAAGACATTGAACTGTTTCCTGCCTGTGTGAGTATTTCTTTTTAATTTTTAACAGCTAGATGTTTAAGCAAAGGTTATATTAAAAATGGACTGTAATAATTGCAGTTACTGCAACATTTTGCAGTACCTTTATCTTTTTACCTAATGAAAATAATGAAATGAAGTTTACTGTCATTGCTTTTGTAACTTTCTTTTCTGATAGTTCCTTGTCTTAATCCCATTATCTAGCCACTCCTAGTCTTCTCTCCTCAAGTTTCCTGTCCTAGTCTCCTTGCCCAACCTCACACTTCTAGCACCCCAGCCAATCTGTGTCTCCCTTCTCTAATCACTTGACTTCCACCCACTATCTCTGTCCATACTGGTTCCTATTCTCTGTCTCTTCCCCAGGGCTATTAGTCTGACCTTGGTGTCCGTGTACCAATTCCTCCTTGTTAGTCTCTGATAGCTAGCAGTTTCAGCCTCCCCTGCCAGACTCCTTGCCCAGTCGTCCTTTCAGTCTACTGCCAATCTCGCTCTTGGCTGTCTGACTTGAATGTAGAGTTTTTCTCTGCATTGCCTGAACCTGGCATGGGGGTATTTAAGCACTGGAGAAACAGGCTCCTTGTTCTCAGTTTTGATGTTCAGTTGGTTCACAGCACCTCAGACCTGCAGTTGCAGGGGGAGTCCTGCTCAGTCCTGAACTTGAGCATACCCAGTGTGGATGAAATCATGGAGATTCAAAAATATTCAGTTTCTTCTGGACATGTATGAAGAGCTATGAGTTGTCCCTACTCTTCCCCCTTCCCTCCCTCCCCAGACTTAAAATTTGACCACATTTGGGCAGTTTTTCACAAAATACACACCACTGTATAAAAAGGCTTTCTTTTCTTCCCCTCAGATTCTCATGTATAGGTTAATTGAAAAGCACTCTTACTTTAAATTGGGGAAAGACCTGCTCCAAATGTGCAAAGGGAGTATTGTTTTGTCCACGGCTTCCTACCAAGATGCTCATGATGCATGCTTCCATGTTTGGTTGGGAAACTCACCTGGGACATCTTCAGACCCAAGAAGTCTGGATTTCCAGTGAGCTTTACCCTCCTAAAGATAGTTGCTGATTACCAGTGGTATCATACAATTATTCATAAAGTTCTGTTTTTTTTAAAAGGCCAAAAATAATGGAGAGCTTAAAGTAGATTGTAACAGTGAATCCCAGTAATGACTGTACCTTACGATATTCTGAACAAAAATCTCTCACCTATGCTGTAGCTGTACATCACTTCATGCTGACTCAAGACATTCTAGACTTCAGCATTATAATGCTGGAATCTTATCAGAAATCAAGCGATGGGTCTAGCATGCACAGTTATGCCCTTCCCACTCTGTAAGGTTTAACAGTCCAGGTCACAGCACGCAACACAATAGCAATGTTGTCAGTACATAGTCACATGATTATTTCCTCTTTGCCAGGAAGCTTTTTGTGTTTGGAACTGATACATTTTCCATCCAGTTATCCCAGTTGCATTGCATCTGCAAGGATTACATTGCAACTTAGGCAGCTTCTCTGAGATGCATACCTATCTGAAATCCTAGTGGCTACTTTGGGATGAGTCCACACATTTACACAGCCTAGTTAGGGCATCAAGATCTGATACCCACTTAAACAAAGGCTGTAGGACAGCTCTGCTAAAGTAGATTCTGAGCACCCACTTCCTTTATACTAGATACCAAAAGTGGAATACATATTGACTGTCATTCAGAGAGAACAGTTCTTCCAGTGATCATTCATATGCATTCTAATCAGGTGTGTGTGCATGCATGTGCACAGTTGTTGGAAGACTTTTTTTCTGACGAAATGGTGCCCCCTCCTCAGTTTTTTCTGATCAACAGTGATGGTAGCTATGACTTCTCCTTGCTCATCTCTTGAGTACAAGTAGATCAGCACTTCTCCTTTTACTGTATATAGTTGTCTTAGCCTTTTAGAAAGTTGCTACAATTGTTTGTGGCAGTTGCAGAGCCTTAATGGTGCCCCCTCCTCAGTTTTTTCTGATCAACAGTGATGGTAGCTATGACTTCTCCTTGCTCATCTCTTGAGTACAAGTAGATCAGCACTTCTCCTTTTACTGTATATAGTTGTCTTAGCCTTTTAGAAAGTTGCTACAATTGTTTGTGGCAGTTGCAGAGCCTTGGGGAGTTGTCGCTGTTCTCCGGCAAACCCGGCACTGGGAGCACTCATGCTGCGCTGGACAGAAGCTTGCTTGGGACACATGGCAATTAAAGGGGCCACAATTTTTCGGCCCTGACCTCCGAGACTTTTTTTTTCTCAGCAACCCTAGTACTATCACCTTTTTTGTTTACAAAAAAAGCACTGGTTTGTATCTGGGAGTGTTATGGTTTCACTGGCATAACTCTTCCACCATTAACAGCACACTCTACCAGGTCTGAAGCATTCCCCACAGTGTTCCTGGCCTAGATCCCCTCTCGGGAGAGGTGTAGAGTGGTAATGTGGTTGTCAATACATAACTTTGCTCCACATTATGGAGTCATGCAACAATTTAAAGATGACACAGCATTTAGATGTGCAGTGCTCCATTGAATGAAGAACTCCAACCCCACCTCCTAGACTTGTACTTGGAAGTCACCTGGTTGGAATCCATGTGAACAACTACTCAGAGGGAAAAAAGATTACATATTTTCTTTAACTGTTGCCTTTCTAGATGTGGTGTTCGTGTCCATTTCAGTACCCAGCTTCCTTCCCCTCTGTTGGGGTAGCTGGCAAGAAGGAACTGGGGTGGGGGACTAGGTAGGGCCCTATATTGGGTGCCATTTTGATGCAACTCCAGGGGGTGCCCACGCCAACCATACGGCTAGCAGCTAAGGAGAAAATCTTCTGGCTACTGTTCAGGTGCACACGCATACACATGATTCGAATGGATGTGAACAACACAGTAACTGGCTCTTTGACTTGTTGTCCCTATATATTTATTCCACTGCCTTTCCTCTTTCCTGCTTTTGTGGAATTCTGTAGCACCTAGGTTCTTTGTGAAAATTGAGGGATAGTTTGGAAGGGAGGCACAAGGGCAGTCTTTTACATGGGGTACATGTGCATACCAGAAATGGAGCATATATGGACAATAAGTCTTGATGACACAGCCACATTAACTGTAGGGTTTGTAACCATTCTCTATGGCACAGTGAATTGTGGTAATTGTGAAGGCAGAGGAGGAACAGGAACCAGAATTAAATATATTGTTGCTTAGGGCTTGTCTTCACTCTACCTTGAGATTGACATCCTAGAGATCAATCTCTTGGGGATCCCAAGGAGTAAGAGAAGTTGACAGTTTCTCCCTTTGACCTCCCGCAGTGGGGATGCCGCAGAAATCTGACTTAAGGTACATCTGCACTAGGTCAGCTTTCTCCGGTAGTGTTAGATCTGGCCTTAGTTCCCTGTAACAGTAGTACCTTATGTAAACTGTTTGAATTGTTAATATGGACTTCATGTACTTGAGTGGAAAAACCAAAATAAGAATCTAGTGACTGAATTTTCTGCAAACCAAAAATTTGGAATGCCCTAACTTTATTTTCTTTTAAAAGGAATTCTTTATAATCATCTCTTTCAGGCAATTAGGTGTTGTGTTGCTCCAAAACAAGGAGAATGGAACAAAGACTGTGCTGGTTTTATTACGCCTATGCTTGTGGGACAGTTTTGTTTGGTGACTGTTGTTGACGTAGTACAAGAGGAGATGATGACTTGTTTTGCTGTAGATGTTGTCCTTCCAGGTTCTGGTAAGAGAGGATTGATTGTTCAGAGACATATTTTAATAACTGTTGTGATTCTCATTTTTGTTCCCTTACAGCATTTTACAGAAATGAGATTTCTCATTTTTCACCTAAAATGTTTAGTTTCCCAATCTTAGCAATTTGAATTGCTGCAAGAGAACTTGTTTTCAAAAGTTTTGTGTCTTGATTGGCTTTATCTCATGCTTTGTGGACTACCTTTATAAACTTAAAATTTTCAGCTGTGAACCTTTTCTATTATCCAGATTTTGTAAATGATCTTGTAAGTTTTCTGCCAACATAGTGCTAGTCTTTATAGAGTTCTTTTGTATTTACATGTAATGAATTGGGGGTATTTCCTTACATTCTTTTTTATGATGTTGCCTTTTCCAGGAATAACTATATCTCTGCCCTTTTTGATGCTATATAATAGTAATATGTCTGACTAATGTCTTATTTTATGCGGTCTTAGTGTACACTAACTAGATTCTCTAAAACGTATCAGATTTTATTCTCTCTTCCCTCCCCATTACTACAGGGCAGACCTAAGGTTGTTTGGGTCCCTGAACTATGTATTTCTTAGCTTAAAATATTTGGATTTCTTTTAATTATCTTAAGTTTTTTTTTAATTTTTTGAGTTTGTAATGCATGTTTTAAAAACTTATTTTTAATCCTTAAGTTACTGATACATACGCTCAATCTTAAGTCCATCTTCCTTCTGGTCCTTTATTACTACAGGGCAGACCTAAGGTTGTTTGGGTCCCTGAACTATGTATTTCTTAGCTTAAAATATTTGGATTTCTTTTAATTATCTTAAGTTTTTTTTTAATTTTTTGAGTTTGTAATGCATGTTTTAAAAACTTATTTTTAATCCTTAAGTTACTGATACATACGCTCAATCTTAAGTCCATCTTCCTTCTGGTCCTTTACTCCCCCCCCCCCCCCCAAAATGCTATTTTGTGATATTTCTAATGTGAAGATATATAATGCCAACCTTAAATCTTGACATATAAAGGACAGAGTCCTCTAAAGAACAGTTGCATGAAGCTTAGGCTGGGTTTACAGCTGCTTTGCATTGCCATAACAGCCAAGAGATACTAAAGGATCTGGACCTAAGTTTGCATTTAATTTATTGGTGGTGCGGGCTCTTTGTGAAACCAGTGCTACGAGAAGAAGGGAGGCAGAAAGCTCTGTTCCGTTGTGCCCACTCTTTGAGGGTTCCCATTGCGCTGCTGCTTTAGTGTGCAATGCTGCATTCTTATGCAGTAAAGTTAAAGCAGTGGTATCATCAAGTCTGTTAGTGGCTGATGTCCATACTATGGTAACAGCATGGGGGGAGGGAAGCAGGTGGTGCCATGGTATAGAAGCTGGCTTCCTGAGTATACTGGCTCCTACCTAGCTCTCACAGCAGCGTGGGGAGATGTGTGCTTGTGGGTAACCACGAAGATTATTGATGAGCCTAGGCTCATCAGTAAACTTTTTATACTTTTAAACTATCACATCCCTGTTTTAATAAACTCATAAGCTAAATTGTAAATTCTCAGGCCCCTTTCTGTATTCAGAAACTTACAACACTTTGGAGAGGCTGAATCCTGCTTTGTGTGACACATGCAACTCATCCTTAATTATAAAGTTGCAACCAACACTGGCATAACAAATTCTGTAGCAATTGTTATAGATAATTTGGTGAGGTGAAATTAGCAAGGCAGTAATATTTGAGAAGGGGAGGTGTTCTTAGGAAACTTCTGAGTAGTCAGACTACTCTTGAGACACGTGTATTTTATTCAACACTCACGGCATACTAGATGCTTGACCAACAAGTAAAATAGACACAGTCTAGGTCAGTTTTCCAGGGTTGGTTAGTTTAGAGAGTGCATTCAGAAAACATAGTTTAAAAAACTAGTCTGACTGCTTTTGTATGGTAAATTAGTTTAATTTATATAAATATGTATTTTAGGGAAACACCTAGATAAAATACTACTTGAAATGGGACATGGCTTGAGTCCAAAGAAAATGAACCCAAATACAGGTGAGTAAACCAGTCAGACTTTTGACAGATTGATCTGAAATTTGGAAGTGATATTTTCACCTCCTTTGGATGGCATGGGTTCATGGAGGTAATGGTGAAGGTAGATTGCCTTCTGTTTCAAATTGTTACTTAAGACATTAGACAGTGGAACAACTTTCAATTCACCAGTGACGTGGAGTGTGTTCTTATTAGAACAGTCACTAAAATAGCTTTTCCTGTCTTGTTTGTATCTCCTCAGATATTGTATTACAAAATAATTCTGAAGGAAAAAGAGATAAAACAGCTGAAGATAAAGAAATGATTCACAATAATGATTTAATTATAAAGGTTGTTTCTGTATCCATGGGAGATAAATTTTCTGGTGTAGTTGCTCATATTCAAACCCCAGAAGACTTTTTCTGTCAGCAGATGCATAATGGCCGTAAGTGAATACATTCCATTCAAACAGGTCATTCGGAAGTAAAAATGTTTTGGTAAAAATAATTTACCATATTTGCATAAATTATTCCAATTATTTATGCTATTTTTTTCTTTTATCAAAAAGCACCTAAAGGTCCCAGGGGAAGACGGTTGGACCAGAAAGAGAGAAACTTGAGTTTGGGGAATAAACTAGATTCCCTAGAATAAGAGATGCATGCAACTTAAAAAAGCCTAGAAAGCTGGTGAGGACTCAGTGGCTTTTATAGCCTTAGAGAGGCTAAAAACAGCAACAGGATTCTATGGCATAGAATTTAGCTTTCTTATTTCACCACTTGACAGAATTATTTTTTCTACCCTGCCTGTTCATATCCCTGGATCAAAAATATTATTTAAATTCGTTGAATTGACCCAATATACATTACTTAATATGAACAGATTCTAAATTATTACTTGTAGTATGATATTTTTTATAGCAGTTGCTAATTGAGAGCTTAATGCCCCTATTCTCTCTGTCCTAAGTCCAGATTGTCAGTATGGGTCACTGCCCATCTGCCCCTTACTGCTACAGAATCAAAGCTGATTGGATGGCAGACGAGACTAGCCCCCACTACTTCGAGTGATGTTCCCATGGGTGCTTCACTCTGGGTGCACTGGTGACCAGAGATTTTTCTAGCAGTGCTATGCTGCATCATGCATGCACTGTAGCATCTCCTCCTGCCGTAAGTGATCATTAGGTGCATGCACAGCACCTCAGTTGCTTCTCTGCCATCTTCGGCAGCAGACGGAGCTCCCTTCAGTCCCTTTTTTTTTTTTTTTTTACCTGAAATAGCAGAAAATTGTAAAATTCCCTCTGTTTTTCTCTCATACGCAAAGTTTTTGACTCCTATCCTTCCAGTTCATCAGGAAAAAAAAATTCCTCAAACAAAACAAAACCCCACCTCTGTTCTTTCATTGGTCTTCGTTACAATGTGCTTGGGTCCCCACTCTTCTTAATTGCCTGGGCAAGGCACATATGGCACAAAAGTGTTCGCACTGCTCAAACCTCGTGGCCAGAGCTAGGTAGAACCGCACCAGCAGCACCCTTCCATGAAAACAGCCTTCCTGGTTGCAATCACCTCTGCCAGAAGGGTGGGGGAACTCAGAGCTCTCATGGAAGATCCTCCATATACAGTAAACTTCCAATAATCCGGCACTTTTAGGACCCAGGGGGTGCCGGATTATCAAATATGCTGGACTATCGGAAGGGGGGGCTATGAGTGGTCTAGGGTGGTGTGGGGGGGATGCCACCCCCAGACCCCTCACAGCCCCCCCTTCCGATAGTCCGGCTCTGCCCCAGGTGTCCCTGATTTGGGGCATCTGATGGTCTGGCACTCCTGATGGTCCAGCACCATCAGGAACCCGGAAGTGCTCCAGGCAGCCGGACCATTGGAGTTGCTCTGCCCCCGGCTTCCCCGATTCAGCCGCTACTGAAACTGATCAGCGGCTGACCCCGTGGCGCTGTGGGACCAACCCGGCAGCACCCCAGTTGCTCTGCCCCAGGCATTCCCAAGAGCAACTGAGGTGCTGCCGGGTTGATCTCGCAGCACCAAGGGGCGGCGCTACTGGACCAACCCGGCAGCACCCCAGCTGCTCTGCCGCAGGCATCTCCGATTCAGCCGCTGATGAAACTGATCAGCAGCGGCTGAATCAGGACTCCTGGGGCAGAGCAGCTGGGGTACTGCCGGGGTGGTCCCGTAGCGCCAAGGAGCGGTGCTGCGGGACCAACCGGCAGCGGCCCCCCCACCCC